GTGAGCAATCTCCTGCAATATACAGAAAGTGTTTCAGGTGTCACGGCCATAATAGCAGGTGGTTCCTCTGGGTAGAAAAATTGTGGCAAGGATACAAAAACAGAAAGCAAACTGTTTCAATATTCTGGGTACAACTTTTCCCCAGTGAATCATTCCCATATGCCTACTTTTGCCATGGGCCCTTTTCCAGAGGAAGTAATTTGTGTGAACGGAGGTGTAGAGATGCACTCTGGTGGGAAGACTTCAGAGGTGCGCACAGCCAATTAATTGTTAGGCTTCTCTTCCACAAGTCTCAATACGCAAAATCTGAATATCATTCGATACCTGCTTTTGCTTCCTCATAATAAATACACAATCTTGTCATGAAGATTTAGAAGTGCTCATTTCCGGCAATGCTGCTTCTGCAAGTCCAATAAAATAGATTTTAAATACAAGCTTACAAGTAAAAGTGAGACTAGAGAAATTTGTCAAAGGTGGCCATTTAGGTAAGAAAGACCCCCCACATGAGATGAGAAGACCCAGATTCAGGTTCAGATTCTTTTAACTCTCTGGGTATTGGGACTAAGACTTTCTGTTTTAATTTATAAAATGGGAACGATAGCTCCTGAGGTTATTTTTTCTCCCCGAGGTTATTTTGAGAATTAAAGGGTATGTGAAGCTTGAATAATACAGGATAAACAAACAAACAAACAAAAACACATGGTATTGTTATTTTTCTCCTAGTGACTTTGTCCATTGGGAGACAATAAGAGAGTGTTAGAAGAGAGAATCTTAAGCTAAAGATTTAAGTACTAAAAATATTCAACCCCAGAGGTACCACAGACATAGACTAATTTTTTCCATCTGTGCAGTTTAGGGTAGATTTGGCACACAATCAATACCAGGCAAGAAAGAAACTATGGTTTAGGCTGCTTTTAAAGTTAAAAAAAAAAAAGACAGAAAAGGAAACCATTTCCTTTTATAAGCAAGAAGGTTAAAATAGAGCCTTTATCGAGTAATTCACTGAAGCAAGATTCCGATCCCTCCCCTCCCCTACTGCTCCCACTCCCTATTTGTGTTCTGATTGGGTGGTTGTTTTCTATATCGTGGTTTATATAGCACAATAGCTTCCTCCTCCCCAGAGGAAAGCAAACATAGGTTCTTCTCAACCAGCCACTTGTGACTCAGAGGTGAAAAGAGCAGTTCTTCAGACGGTAATCTCCCTCCATTACTAATATTTAAGGACCTGGTTTTCAGAGCCAGGGGTTATTCAAAATATTATGGCTTTAAAATTGAGCCCCACCTAAGATGCCTCAACAGAGTTGGAGTCTGAGGTTGAGAAACTGGCTTGAGAAAAAAGATAAAAGTAGCAGGAAAGGCCACAAGGGTAAGCTGATGACTCATCGCCCCTTCCTTGAACTTCAGGAATAACAAGATGGAAAGAAATGGGGGAAAAAAAGGCAGTGTCCCAGTGCAGACCAGAGGCTGCGCGGAAGACAAGGAATTCCAGCAACTCACAGAATTGCATGGGTTCTTGAGCAGGCCGTGTCGCACATGCCTGTAATACCAGCTCTCAGTTCCAATGTCTTCTGGGTGACTCAGTGAGACCCTGTCTCAAAAGAAAAAAAGTCTTAAAAAGGGCAGGGGATGTAGCTCAGTGGTAGAGCACCCCGGCTTCGATTCCTATTACTGCAAAAACAAAGAACCACAAAAAAAGAATGACCTGGAGTTTTAGGATAAAGGCTGCCTGCCTGCCTTCCTTGCCATGGTCGCGGTGCTAAGTGCATCAAAGAAAGAACATTGGGAAAACTAATGATTACCCTTTATCACAGTGATGGTCCTAAGTGGGATCAAGTTATGCTCTGGCTTAGAAGTTTCATTCACTGGGCCGGGGGTTTAGCTCAGTGGTTCCACTGCCTGCCTCACAAGTACAAGGTCCCAAATTCAATCCCAGGCCCCCAAACAAAAAGAAATAATTAAAATAATTTTTTTTCACTGACTGCATCAGTCTTACATGAAGTCTGAGCCCATAGTGGCACAGAATACTCCTCATTATGGCCCTGACTTCCTTGGTGGTTTCATCTTCTGTTTATTTCTTGCTACTTGTCCTGGAAGGTGTGAGGCACCGCTTCTGATTTCCCAAGTAAGCAAGATCCTTTTAACCCCCCGCCCCTCAGTTCTCTTTGCCCCGAAGTGTCATCCCAGCCTGCCAACTCTTGCGCTCCTGGTCTCAAGTGTCATTTCTTCTCTGCGGCTTTCTGGACTCCCACTCTCCTGCTATTCAGAACGAGGGTTCTTTCATCTCTGGCGTCGAGGCCCTTCTAACACACCTTTGTTCAACCACCGGGTGCGGTGAACTGGGTCTTCCCTCAACTCACCGCGCACTCCCCCAAGTCTGGTGTGAACAGCTCCTTGCCACCCTGAAGGAGGACCCAGGTTTGCTGAACTGAATCAATATTAGAAGACATCCACAGCACAGATGGGTTTTTCTAGGCCTAAGAATTGTGCTACGCCTGAAAAGTGTATGCTAAACCTGCATACTTAGGGGATTCTGCTTTTGGTGTTCCCAGAGTGTGTGTAATTTGCTTTTATTAAAGAAGTATAGTGAATGTATTTCTCTACATACAAATTTATCAGTTGATTTGCTACTTAACATTTTCCTGCTGGGTGTGGTGGCCCACGCCTGTAATCCCAGCACTCAGTAGGCTGAGGCAGGAGGATCACTGTGAGTTCGAAACCAGCCTGGACTACATAGTGAGTTCCAGTTCAGTCTCTACATAGTGAGACCCTGTCTCAACAAACAAACAAAAAAACAACAAAAAACAACAAAAAAACAACAGCATTTTCCTGCAACCCAGTCGGTGAAAGGAGCCGAGTAATTTGAAATATGGTCCAGCCGGAGTGGAACCACACACAAGGGTTACTTCCGTCAGGGCACCTTGGTTGCCTTTGCTCCTCAGAATCCGTGTGTGTCTTGGCCTTTGAAGGGATCCGCTGAACAGGGGCCAGGTGAACACCATTGAGTTTGTTTGTTTTTCTGGCACTGGGGAACGAATTCAGGATCTTGTGCTTGCGAGGCAGGCGCAGTGGCACTGCGCTAAATCCCCAGCCCTGACGCCATTGAGTTTTAACTTTGCACATTCTCGGTCCCAGCATTTAACTTTTCTTCTTTAAATTGAACAAGTTAACTGAAGAAGTGCATAATGTACTTATCTCTCTCATAAATATGCCTACTTTCAGAAGAATAAAAATATTTTTAAACTTTAGTACATGTTTGTAGTACACAATGATTACATTCCTCATGGGAAGCTGGTTTGTATACTTAACACACCTTAACTCTTTTCTTCATCCCCCTCCCTACCCTCCCTCCATCTCTAGGCCTCTTTACATTTGCGAAAGGTCTGGCTACCTATTTCCTATTATCTACCTTTTATTTTGCTCTTACATATTGGGTTTCTCATATAAGAAAAACCATGCATTATTTAAGCTTGTGCATCTAATTTATTTCACTTTACATTATAGTCTCGAGGTGTACCCATTTCCCTACAGATAACTCAAAAGTATCCTTCTTAATGGCAGAGTAGTGCTCCGCTGGGTATAAGTGCCACGTTTTCTTTATCCCCTCATCTGTTTATGGGCATATGGGTCACCCCAAGATCTAGCTATTGTCAACTGTGCTGCTCTAAACATTTAGTTTTCAGAACCAACATTTGAGACAAGTTACAAAAACTAAAAACCAAACTGCCCCATACTCGTTCCTTTGGTTGTTTGGGTGACCTTCTGCGGGCGGTACTGGTCAGTGTGAAGGACTTGGGAAGCGACGGACGGGCGTCAGTTACACCCGTCTCCGGAAGCACCGTCTTTGTCCTGCTCCATGGCACGCGACGCTGCCCAGGCCTGCGGTCACTTTTCCTGAGACCAGATGAGTGGGAATTTGCTCAATCTTCAGATCTCTCATGCCTGCCTTATTGAGGTCACGGGACAGTCTTAGCTCCCAGCGGGCAGCCTGGCCGGCTCAGATCGCGGCTGGGTCACGCCTGCGACGTGTAGGGTGCAGCACCAAGACGAGGAGGAGAAGTGCTGGAGTCAGCCTGTCTGAGCGGGGATCAGTCCACACCACGGACCGGTTATTAAACCTCCCTACGTCTCACCTGTTTTATCAGCAAAGAAGGAAACTGACGGTGCCGCCCCTGATCCGATGCGTGGAGTGTGCGAGCGAATGCACAGGGTCTGGCGCACAGTCAGGACTCGATAAGGATGAGCCTTGTGTTCACACGTTACACGGCATTTACAGCTTCGGGAAAGACGAGTGAGTACGGTAAGAAATTAAAGGTTGGACGGTCATTTTTAAACCACCTTTATTTACAAAATCGAAAGTCTGCTTTGGTGTCATTATTGACAAAATGTCTACAACTGAGATATTAGCTAAGAAGATACATTGATTTCAGCTTTACATAAAACCAGGATCCAACGCGACCCCACTTTCCTATCCCTTTGGCTCTGAATGCAGGTTTAACAAACACACACACAAACTAACAATGAAAAAGAAAAACCTTTCAACACACAATGACTTAATACACTACTTCACACCACCTTTTTAGGGTTTGGAATGAAATTACTTATCTAAAATTTGCTATTTAGAGACCAAGCTGTAGGGAATGGCATAAAGGTGAAGGGTTAGTTTATTTGACTTTTGTAATACAATATCAGTAATGGCTTTAGAAGAACACAAATAAACAACCATGGTAAACAGTATATATTGATAATTTAAGATAAACTTGTTTATCTAACATCATGCTGAGGAATTAAGACTTCTTTATGTATTTTAAAATTTTAATTTATTCTATAAGTTGGGTCATAGTCTTGCTCTCTATTAAGGCAGTGATCACCACGGTAACAAGTTAATAACCAGTACCCATGGAAACCTAACACCCTGCTCTTTTTTTCTTGGCTTTTTTTTTTTGAAACAGAGTCTCACTATGTAGTTCAGGCTGGCCTTGAACTCCAGGCAATCCTCCTGCTTCAGCCTCCCAAGTGCTATGATTACAGGCATGTGCCACCATGCCCAGACACCTTGCTCTTTTGTTAATGCCCTATTAATGTTCAGTTGAGTCTGATGTCCCTCTGGTTAATATATGTGAGCAGTAAAAACACCCTTTATTCCAGAATCTTTTCTTCTGAAGTTAAAATACACCTATATTGGAAGAAAAAACAACTCCATTGGCTTAAAGTAAGCTGAGGTAACTAATCTGAGATAGCAAATAAGTAAATCAACAAATGCCTCTTATTTTTTTTTGGTACTGGGGATCGAATTCATTTTTGTTTTAAAACAAAGTAAAACAACAATAACAACAAAAAGAAGTCACTGGCAAATCCTCACTAACAGTTTTAAAGTTGATCCATTAACATATTATTAAATAGGAAATAGTTACTATGAAAGTATATAATTCCATTCATCGAATACACTCGTCTGCTGAGATATCTAACACATCTTCATCTGTACTCTCTTCTATCTCTGGCAAGTTGCCCCAAAGTAGGAAGTTTATACCTGGAAATAAAAGGCCATAAAATCTTTAATGCTCAAAATTATTACAGTTGAGAACACGATACATGAAATTTAATAATATGTTATTCTTCTGTGAACCAGTATCAGCAGTAAAGAGAGCAGCTGTTAAAAGATGGACTACAAATAAAGTTACCATCTCGGACACAAATGCTTTTTGCTTTTGGCAGCGTTGGGGATCAAACTCAGGGCCTATACAACTGCTCTGCTGCTGAACTACGCCCTGCCTCGCAGACATTCTACAGGCCCTTCTAAGCAAGAGCTTGAACTTTAGAATCTTAAAACTCAGAAGGATCTCAGGAATCTGTCTCCTCGTAACCTGCCTGCAGCAGCATTATGCCATCATCATTCTATACTGATTATTTCAAATCTATTTTAGTGACCTTTAAGAATGGCAGTCCCACGAGAACTAGGCGTGTGGTAGCCAGTGATTCAGTCCCAACACTCCAGGAGGCCGAGGCAGGAAACAAGTTGGAGCCCAGCCTGGACAGCTTAGTGACAGTAAGATTCTGTCTCAAAAAAAGAAAAGAATTTCATAAGATCTTTTCAGATTAAGAGTCCCTTTGGAGGTTCAAGGAAAATCCTTGAATAAATCTCATCTCTTTCATAAACACAGCAGTAACTGGTGCCATTTTTTGGATTAAAAAAAAAAAAAGCAAGATTTTTGGAGCCAGCTATAATCTGAACAGCAAGCTTTGAAGTAGGTGGGCTTTAGCCTGCAGGCTGTCAGGGCAGAGCTGTAAACTTCAGGACTAGGTTGCAACAGACAGCACTGCTGACAGAATGACTTAAACCCTCAATCAGAAAGATTAGTCAGGGGCTGGGGATTTAGCTCAGCGGTGCTGCTGCCTGGAGCACAAGGTCCCGAGTTTGATCCCCAGTACCAAAAAAAAAAAAAAAAAAAAAAAAAAAAAACTGTTTCTTCTCTGTGACGCCCCCTGCCATTCCACCCTCCCTTGGAGACAGCCAGCTATGGATTGAAACCACAAAAAAAAAAAAAAAAAAAAAAAAGGAAGAAAGATTAGTCAGATTGGGCATGGAAGACTCAGCAGAGCCCAGTGTAAGACCAAACAAACTGACGATAATGACATGGCTTATTCTAGGCACGTCCTATATTATAGCTTGAGAGTAGTGAATTTGGGGAAAAAAAACGACCTCTAGGGAAGCCAAGGAAGTTCAACAAGAAAAGCAAATATCCGGCTGTCCAGCGGTCAGGGTGGGCGCAAGGAAGCTCAGCCAGTCTGGACGTCCGCAGCCACACGGCGGAATGCACTGAGCTGGGCTTGGACTGGGTTTGAATCATTTCCACCACTGCCACCGCCCATGGCTGGTCTCACTGCTTCCCTTACAGATGTACGCAGCCAGACGCGGTGTACCTGAAAATTCTACACGACAGTATCATCCAGTCTGTGCTTTTCCAGTTTGTCATGCCACTCATTATGTTTCTGAGGTTTACTTATTTGATGTATAGTGACTTAGTTCATTATTTATTTTAATTTTTTATTTTTGGTACTGGGGATCAAACTTGGGTCCTTGCACTTGCAAGCTAAATCGCCGGCACTGGTTCATTTATTTTTAATTCTGTAGAGTAACCCACTGTGTGAAGT